TATGTGTGATACACATACAGGGGGATTTGGGTTTGTTTCGCAGCCACAGGACCTGGGGGTACCTTGCAGTCGTTAAGTCGACCATGAGCTCCTCTGTATACCAAAGTGTTCTTGAGTCAAATATATCTGTGTTCGACAGCTAAAGCTTGGTTGAAATTGGGTTGTGCAACAGGATGATGATCCCATGCAAAAGCAGCAAATGTACAACACAATGACTGAAAAAGAAAAGAATAGAGGCGACTGAAATGCTGTGAATAAACAAATGAACCCACACTGAACTGAAGACTGAGCCAAAATTTCCCCACAGCGACGTGAGAGACTGATAAATTCATAAAGAAAGCTTTAACTTCACGTTATTGCTGCTAAAGGTGATTATTATTTTCAATTACATCTTAACACATAACATTTAAAAATTGAAATTGGGAGTACTTTCTTTTTCATGACTGTACCTGAAACATTTAATATGAGCACAGAGTTTAAGGTAAGTACTTTCTGAGAGGTTCTACCAAACACCAGAGATGCGATGTCACAAAACAAGGTCATCTGCGCTGTTGAGACATTTTTGTATTCACACTTCATGAAAATTGTCCCATAGCATCTTTCCCTAAATCCAAGTCCTTTATAAAAATGATTTGTAGTAGAAACTCCAGAAGTCGTTATTGTGTCATTATTTTAATTGTCTCCTCGTTGTTGTAAGTGGTTTACTGAAAGGAGCACCTGTGTGTGCATGAGAGCTCTCAGCGGGTCTCTCTCCAATAAGTGAGAGTACGATAAAATAATGTTGTTCGACATTATTATGAGACGTGAAGTGTGCCTGCTGAGCTTTTTCCACATTTACAATCTGGAAGCATTTTAAATCAACCTAAATCTGAACTTAGAAACGCAGCATTTAGATTAATTTACTGACTTATTAAACCTGTCTATATATTGAAGTCTGTCAGCCAAATTCCCAGACTTGAATAGAGCCTAGTCCAAAACTAACCCAGTGAAGAACTCCACTGGAGAGACTGACTTACTGACTCTGGAAACTGAGGCTGGAACTTCTAAACTGGTCTAGAATTGAAGTTTCTTTTTATTTCACCTAAAAAATTGGGGGTAATATAAAATTTTCACTGATTTTCACATTTGATATGACATTGACCCAATTTCCACTCATGTTAAATCAGCTCGAGCTGTCATTGGTACCTACAATCACACAAAATTTCAAACGATATACTTGAGACTGTGGACACTAGACTGCTAACAAACAAACAAACGGAGAAACACACTAACAAAACCAATTACATGCAAAACTCCCAAAGTAACTTGGTGGAAATGTCTGATTTAAAGATTAAACTCTGAGGGCTATATCTCGGTTAAAGTAAGCCCCTGACAGTAATTTACTTATAGCAGAGCTTTTATTCCAAGGCAACTGCAGTAAGTTAAAAGTAGGAAGACAAATCAAGTCATATTAAGAAACCAATCCTGACCTCAAACTGCGTACAATTAACACATCTACCAAACCAAACTTGGCACATTCCTGTCCAAAAAGGCCTGGTCTGGCTTTGCACTTGCTGGGTCCAAACCAGGTCTGGATGAGAGGCAAGAAATAAAAATAAACTAAACACAAACACATCTTCAAACACAGCTCGCTTGCAAGCACTGCATGTTTCATGTTTAGAGGTCACAGGGCAGTTACTGCTGCACACCTGAACTTAGCTTTATTACCTACACCGTGAAATGGGCTGATTAACACGTATATCAGCTTCACATAACACAAAATACTCGACCCTGCTGCTGCTGCATGTGTACGCTGACAAACAGGCCAAGATGCTGTCTTGATGCATGCTCAGTCATCCAGGACGTAGCATTTCCAGTGCGAGAAACGACTGAAGAAGTGACTAAATGTATCTCCCACTGAAAACTTTTTAGGAGGCGAAAATGCTGCGTCACAGCTGCTCGCAACAACAAGTCCCAATGTAACCCCTGAGTATAGATAATGGCCACATGATGCCAAAAAATGGAGTGAGGAGCTGGTGAAAAACGTCTTTGTGTTTCCTGGTGAATCAAACCGTTATTTCAAACTATTTTTTTAAAGATCAAAAATAGCAAAAAGTTCTGTGGTCTCCTAAATGTTACACCCCTGTCCAGACCCTGAAATACTAATTAGAGTTGAACACCCTGTGTGCTGCGCTCTGTGCCTGCACGCCACACTGAGGAAACCGTTTCCCTTATTTTGAGTAAAAATTCAAAGCATGTTGTTCCAGTTTCTCAGAAATTTAAATTTGTTGTAGCTGTCCTTTTTATGCAGCTTATATTTTGGTTTATTATGTTTTTAAAAAAATCACAGGTGATGCTTTTCACTGAGCTACATTTTTGCCATATTAACTGTTTAAAGCCTGAACTATCAAATAATTCTTTTTTTTTTTAATTCAACATTTATTGAACCTCCTGACTTTAAAAAAAGATATATAGATTAACATATAAATGAATTTGTTACATATTTGTTACATCTGGCCTTTTATTTCTTTTTCTTTTGCAATTTATTGCCTAAAAATGTGGTGAGATATTTATTCCTGTTTTTCAATGTATCAAATATGATACACTATGAGTTAAGGAGTTAAAGGTATCCTCTCTTTGGCATCACACAGATCAATCAGTGACTTAAATCAGTCTGATGCTTGAGCTTCTGGCTCACAGAAACTACTTGTATACATGCCCCCACCAAAGAGGTGACAGTGTTCAGTGTCCTTATAACAGGTTTTGGCGACTGGGGATCAGACTGCCCCTCCTGTACATGGTGGGCTTATGAGGGACTGGGTGCATGTTACTCTTTCTGGCTACAGGGTGGGACCAAGGCAACTCTACCCTGGGGAGGATTAACAGATCCCTTGTTCTTCCCTTTATAGGGGTTTTCTGAATAGCTCTTGTCTGACCCCTCACTCAGAAGCAGTTTTGCTTGGGAGACCCTTCCAGCGGTAAATTGGCCCTCACAATATATCTCCTGGCATTACACAGGCGCACAGACCCCTTCATCATGACAAGGTGGAGGGATATCTGGATCCTAGTTATCCATCTGACTAGGATGCCTACTGGGTGCCTCCCAGGTGAGGTTTTTCAGGCCTTTCCTACTGGGAGAGGACCTTGGGGAAAAACCAGAATACATCAGAGAGATTAGATCCTTCAGCAGGCTTGGGAAGCCTTGTTGTCTCCTTGGAAGAATTGAGTTGGCTGCCCCCACTATTCAGACCCAGACCTAAGAAAGTGGCTATGGATGGATGGATGGATGATAGGACGACAATAATTTGGTATAACTTTGAGTACTTGAATGTCCAAATGTGCCTTTAAACCAAAGCGATAAAGTCAACGTGAGCCATAATCTCTTTTTAAAACCTGGTAGGAGCTCAGAGTTGTATAACTTTGAGCATGAGGTGCAAAATACAGTCAAGATCTACAAACTTTTAGTCAGCAGGAGAAAACATATCATTTTACAGTCAGAGGCATATCTGCCAAGTCTGCCCATGAGTTTGGAGATTACTACACACACCATCAGCCAGGACAGTGTGCTACCAACCCACCTCCCAGCAGCCAAGTTTTAATTAGTTCATACCACTTCTCATTTTAGTCTCTCACCAGGAGCCAAGTACACGAAGTACAAATGACACAAAGTTGTCCTCCAGACAGAAGGAGGGTGTAAATGTACAAGTCACAGTACTGTCATGACTTACTGGGCTGTCTTCAGCTTAACTAGCATCACATGTATGACAGGAAACAGGCCTAATTCAGTTATTTGTGAGGCATAAATCAAGCCTCCATGAAGAATAAATAATGTGACCTTAATACTGCTTTCAGTAGAATTTAATCTGATTCTTTTTAGCAGATTGTTTCATATATGCAGTCAGGTGAAGAGTAAAGTGTGTTATTAATGTTTCCATGGGAATTTAGAGGGTATGCAAAAGCCAGGTGCTGCTCATCAAAAGCAGTTTTAGACCAGTTTGCTAGTCTGGAGTATTCAGTTGTGTGTTAAGACAATGCCGCAGTCGTCCCAGGACTAGACACTTCAAATTCACCCCAAGTTACGCCGTGCAATATTCAGAGAAACTACAACTATGTTGATGTTACAGTGAACGATGGCTAACACGTCTGGAGTAGCAAGATTTACTGCTGTGGAAACACTGAATCCCAAAGTGATGATGGAGATGAGTGGGATTAACTTGTTTTTGCATCAAAATGATTCAAACATATAAATGAAATACATTAAATCACGTAAAATATCTGTTATTGATGATAAACACAAAGAGAAACATTAAAGAAACCATAAACATCCCTGTTTAAACCATAATGGGCTCATAGATAATCCCTCTTGGTCCCTAAAATAACTCAGTGAATACATGAATTCAATAATGTATAATTATGGCTCATTCTTTACAACAAATACTTTTGGTATTTGTAGTTTAAAAATCAGAAGAGTTTCCTCAGCACTGCTTCTTGTGCATGCATTTATGGTGCAGAGGCCTATATTATGTGGTGACTAGACTACCTTCATATTTTTAATATGCGAGTTCACCAGCTCACAGAAAATAAATCCACATGGAGTATATTGGACAGGAGGCGATATGAACCCTGCCAAATACTTAAGATTGATGGGAAACTATGAAGGAAAAGCTCCACCTAGTGGAGTGAAGTGTAACTTTTTTCCTTCTGCTTTTTATATTCCTGCAGCAAAAAGACTCACACATCCCATTCAGCTAAAAGGAAGAATATGTCAGGATTTTTCCCATATAGAAAACAGGTTTTGGGCATTTCCCCTTTAGGAGTTTCAGAAGAACTGTGGTAAAAATATTTTAAGCATTTTAAAGTAAAAATTATTTTAGTTAAGGTAACACACATGTGGACTAATTGTCCCCCAAAGTCCTGTTTTGAGCCAGACCTTCACGTGAACTGACCGTGGAAAGCAGAGAACACAAGACATAAAAACAAAACAGGTTTTTAATCAATATTTTATTCTGAAAGGATCGATCTAAGGTTATAAGCAGTTTATAAAAGTTTATTTTCACATCATCTACTGCTGCTACAGTTTATGCACACAAGGCATAATGAAATCCATGCACATTTGCCAACATAATCCACAACTAACATTTCACACTTTACATTCCCTGTTCGAGCTCATCGTGTGTTTTTCTTTAGAGGTAAATACTACGTGATTATAATTTTACACATTCATGGATCCTGAACCACATTCTCCCTCTTGTGCACACTTCTAACGTGTCTGCCGAGAGACTCCATCCATTTGAAGGATTTGCCACAGCAGTTACACACAAAGCGTTTCCCCTCGGTGTGGATCGTCTGGTGTCTGTTCAGAGCGCTCGTCGTGATGAAGGTCTTGCTGCATATTTCACACCTGTACGGCCTCTCTCCCGTGTGAGTCCTGATGTGAGCTGCCAGGTGGGAGCAGTTACTGAAGCGTTTTTCACAGACGGAGCAGCTGTAGGGTTTGTCTTTGCCCTCCTCGTTGCCGTGGAGGTGGTGGTGATGGTGGTAATGGTGGAAATGTAAGGCTTGGTCCTGCAGACTGGCTTTCAGACTGGAAGGAGAGGAGATGAAGTCTTTGATGTCTGACTCGAGGGCTTCGAGCTGGTCAGCATCGTGACCCATCCAGAAGTCCCTGTGGCTCTTCTGCTGCTCCTCCTTTTTGACCTCTGAAGTCTCTGGATGCTCCTCATCCATCTGCCCCAGGCTGCTGCCTCCATCCTCCTCCTCTTCCTCGCACTGCTCAGGCTCGGCCTCAGGCTCAGAAGCATCCACTGCAGGGTCTGACTGAAGAGGAGGAGGAGGAGAAGGACGGTGGCGGTGATAGGTTTGCTGCAGCAGCTGGGCTGCAAGACATTTGTCTGATGGAGGCTCTGAGCAAAAGACAAAAGACGCCGGAGTTATTCATTTTTAACTCAATATACAGACATTATAAGGAAAAGCTGCACGGGTTTGGCTATAAAGCGGGTTTAATTCAAACCTACCTGCCTTGAGAAGCTTCAGCTCCAATCTGAGACGGCTGATTTCCAGATCTTTTGAACGACAGAGCTCCTCTTTGTATTCGGCTATTGTCTTTTCAACCGCTCCAAATATCTCCTCCGCGGCCACCATCAGCCTCTCGCTCAGAAAAGCTTTCAGTGAATGCATCCTGGACATTTAGACGGGAGGCTGCCAGCTCTCGGTGGCTCCTGAACACGTATTTGTGCGGGTCCGTGAACGTCACGCTTGGATTGTAAACACGGACATGAAACTAGTGAGGTGAGAAATGTGCAACACGAGAAAACAGCGCCACCTTCTGGCGTGGAGGACAAGAATAAACGTTACGCCTTGATGATAAAATAAAAAAATATTCTTTACTATGATTTCTGTTCTATTTAAATATTATAAACAGTGCTGTTAAAAAGAATTTTCCTCTTTTTTTGAATATTTGTGACACTTACATTTTTTAATATCAATGCTAATAAAAAATATGTCCTTCTTCAGAACACCAGTGTGCTTGAACTTCAGCACAGAAAAGAAAGCCTGATATTCTGGTAGAGAGCAGAATTCACGGTTCCCTCAATTACAGCAAATCATCCAGGTCCCGAAGCAGCAAAGCAGCCCCACTAAAACCATCATGTTTGAGTGTCGGTGTGATGTTCTTTTTATGAAATGCTGTTTTAATTTTATGTCAGATGTAACAGGACTCAAACCCTCTACAAAGCTCAGCTTTTGTCTCATCAGTCCACAGAACAGTTTCCCAAAAGTCTTGGAGATCATCAAGATGTTTTTTTGGCAAATGTGTGATCTTTTTGGTTAGCGCTCTCCCATGTGCGCCATTTTTGCCCAGCCTCTTTCTTGTTGTTAAATCATGAACTCTGATCCTCTGACTGAGGCAAATGAGGCCTGCAGTTCTTTAGATGTTATCTGGGTTCTTTTGTGACCTCCTGGATGAGTCATTGATGTACTCTTGGAGTAATTTTGATAGATTGATCACTCCTGGGAAGCTTCACTGCTGTTCCAGGTTTTCTTAATTTGTAGATAAGTCTTATAAAAGGTTTTATAACCCTTTAGAGACTGACAGATATCAGTGAGTTTGTTTCTCAGCTGTTATATCAGGGTATGCCGTGTAGCTTTTTAGATTTATGTATTTTTAGCCTACTTCATTTTTTCAGACAAGTTCTATTTAAAATATTGTATATGATCCTGTATGGGGTTTTTTCTTGGCTGTTTATTCTTGTCTGCTGACAAAACACACACACACTCTCACATACATTCACTTCATCATCCCAGCTTCAAAGCCCTTCCTGTTCAGGCCTGGCCCCGATATTGCTCACAGCAGGATATCAGCTGTAAGCCTGTTCAGTTGATTTCTCCTGTTCATTCCAGCAACTTTTTCAACTCAGTTTTTGAAGTTTTCAGTTAGGAAATAACAATCATTGCCTCCATATAAGGACCCATATGTCAACAAACCCCTGAACTCATTGCCCCAACTCTGGGAAAAGCTTGTGAGGGAAGAAGTGTAAAGAGCTTGGGTACATACATGTCAACAAAACAGCAACCACAACAAAGAGAGGAGGCAGGAGGGAAAGGAGTCCCAGGATTAAAGGAGAAATTGTGGAAATTATAGTTATTATAAGGGCAGCATGGTGGCACAGTGGTTAGCACTGTTGCCTCACAGCAAGAATGTCCTGACTTCAATTGCACCATCAGGCCAGGGTCTTTCTGTGTGTTGTGCCCGTGTCTGTTTAGGTTCTCTGCAGGTACTCCAGCTTCCTCCCACAGTCCAAAGACATGCAGTTAGTGGGGTTTGGTTAACTGGATACACTAAATTGCCCATAGGTGTGAATAGTCTATGTGTTAGCCCTGCGACAGACTAGTGGCCTGTCCAGGGTGTACCCTGCCTCTCGCCCTAAGAAATCATCAATGGCAGCCATTCCTTTTGGTATGCTTGATGACCTATTTCTTTGCTTTATCCATACTTTTTTCTTCACATCGTTCTGCCAAAAGCTGGTTTCATCTATGCATTTTTCAGGCTTGTGCAGGCTCTTTTAAAGTCAAATCTGACCTTCTTGTTCTTGAGTGTAACAAGTGTTTTTCACCTTCTTGTAAACCTTTTGCATTTCCTTTCATGAGGGCATCTCTTGATTGTTGACAATCACACATCTACTTTGTCCAACCACTGGTAGGACCTGGATGTCAGCCACTTCCTCTATCTGCCGGTGGTACATACCGTGCAGGAGCTTACTTATCCTTCCATGATGGTTCCTCCTATTTATTGGGTTTCTGCTGCCTGAGGCATTCACTGAGCACATGGTCAGTTGGGGCTGTCTTCCTGATGTATTCATGGATGTTTTTTGTCTCATCCTGGACTGTGGTACTGACACTCCCCCAGCCGCCTTCCTTCTGCTTAGCATACAGCCTCAGAATGCTGGACTTGGGGTGAAACCCTCCATGCATGGTAAGGTGGTCTTCCTGGTCTCGATGTCAGTGGCTTCCATCTCCTCCTTTGGCCAACTTATTATCCCAGCAGGGTACCTGATCATGGGGAGGGCGTAGGTTTTGATAGCCCAGAACTTGTTCTTACTGAATAGGATAAGGGACCTATGATTGTGTTGAAAGCAATCACATGTTGATTGTACACCACCCTTTTATAATCAGAGACAGAAGTACTTTGTATGTATATATATATAAAAAAAAACACCCAGCACGCCCCTGCGGGCGGTTTATCCTTCAAGCTCGGGTCCTCTACCAGAGGCCTGGGAGCTTGAGGGTCCTGCGCAGTATCTTAGCTGTTCCCAGGACTGCGCTCTTCTGGACAGAGATCTCCGATGTTATTCCCGGGATCTGCTGGAGCCACTCGCCTAGCTTGGGAGTCACCGCACCTAGTGCTCCGATTACCACGGGGACCACCGTTACCTTCACCCTCCACATCCTCTCGAGCTCTTCTCTGAGCCCTTGGTATTTCTCCAGCTTCTCGTGTTCCTTCTTCCTGATATTGCTGTCATTCGGAACCGCTACATCGATCACTACGGCCGTCTTCTTCTGTTTGTCTACCACCACTATGTCCGGTTGGTTAGCCACCACCATTTTGTCCGTCTGTATCTGGAAGTCCCACAGGATCTTAGCTCGGTCATTCTCCACCACCCTTGGGGGCATCTCCCATTTTGACCTCGGGACTTCCAGGTTATACTCGGCACAGATGTTCCTGTACACTATGCCGGCCACTTGGTTATGGCGTTCCATGTATGCCTTGCCTGCTAGCATCTTGCACCCTGCTGTTATGTGCTGGATTGTCTCTGGGGCATCTTTACACAGCCTGCACCTGGGGTCTTGCCTGGTGTGATAGACCCCAGCCTCTATGGATCTTGTGCTCAGAGCTTGTTCTTGTGCTGCCATGATTAGTGCCTCTGTGCTGTCTTTCAGTCCAGCTTTGTCCAGCCACTGGTAGGATTTCTGGATATCAGCCACCTCCTCTATCTGCCGGTGGTACATACCGTGCAGGGGCCTGTCCTTCCATGATGGTTCCTCGTCTCCCTCCTCTTTCTTGGGTTTTTGCTGCCTGAGGTATTCACTGAGCACTCGGTCAGTTGGGGCCATCTTCCCAATGTATTCTTGGATGTTCGTTGTCTCATCCTGGACTGTGGTGCTGACACTCACCAGTCCCCGGCCCCCTTCCTTCCGCTTAGCGTACAGCCTCAGGGTGCTGGACTTGGGGTGAAACCCTCCATGCATGGTAAGCAGCTTTCTTGTCTTTATGTCAGTGGCTTCTATCTCCTCCTTTGGCCAGCCTATTACCCCAGCAGGGTACCTGATCACGGGCAGGGCGTACGTGTTGATGGCCCAGATCTTGTTCTTACCATTCAGCTGACTCCTCAGGACTTGCCTGACCCTCTGCAGGTACTTGGTGGTTGCAGCTTTTCTAGTGGCCTCTTCATGGTTCCCATTCGCCTGCGGGATCCCCAAGTACTTGTAACTGTCCTCTATGTCTGCAATGTTGCCTTCTGGTAGTTCAATCCCCTCAGTTCTGACTACCTTCCCTCTCTTTGTTACCATCCGACTACACTTCTCCAGTCCGAACGACATTCCAATGTCATTGCTGTATAGCCTGGTAGTGTGGATTAGTGAATCGATGTCTCGTTCACTCTTGGCATACAGCTTGATGTCATCCATGTACAGGAGGTGGCTGACAACTGCTCCGTTCCGTAGTCGGTATCCGTAGCCAGTCTTGTTAATGATCTCACTGAGGGGGTTCAGGCCTATGCAGAACAGCAGTGGGGACAGAGCATCTCCTTGGTAGATCCCGCACTTGATGGTGACTTGTGCTATGGGCTTGGAGTTGGCCTCTAGTGTTGTACGCCACATCCCCATTGAGTTCCTGATGAAGGCTCTTAGGGTCCCATTGATCTTGTACAATTCTAGGCATTCCAGTATCCAGCTGTGGGGCATTGAGTCATAGGCCTTCTTGTAATCAGGCAGTGCACAGGTTGGTCAGTCTGGTCTTGCAGTCTCGGCTGACTGTTCTGTCTACCAGTAGCTGGTGTTATGCGCCTCTGGTATTCTTGCCAATTCCTTTCTGTGTCCCGCTCATGTATTGACCCATGTGCCTGTTCATCTTAGCCGATATGATGCCTGACAGGAGCTTCCATGTAGTACTGAGGCAGGTTATTGGTCGGTAGTTGGAGGGGACCGGTCCCTTCTTGGGGTCCTTGGGGATCAGGACCGTCCGGCCTTCAGTTAGCCATTCCGGGTGTCTCTCGTTAACTAGCAGCTGGTTCATTTGTGCTGCCAGACGCTTGTGGAGTGCAGTCAGCTTCTTCAGCCAGTAGGCGTGAACCATGTCGGGCCCTGGTGCTGTCCAACTCTTCATACTGGAGACCCTTTCTTGGATATCTGCCACTGTGATGGTTACTGGACCCTGTTCAGGGAGGTCGCTGTGGTCTGCCCTCAGATCCTCTAGCCACTGAGCATTGCCGTTATGGGTTGCATCCTTCTCCCATATGCTCTTCCAGTATTGCTCCGTCTCCAGCCTTGGTGGTGCTGTTCTCTTATTGTTCCCTTGCCACTGAGAGTACACCTTTGCTGGTTCTGTGGAGAACAGCTGGTTTATTCTCCTGCCTTCTATCTCTCTGGTGTACCTCCTCAAGCGGCTGGCCAAGGCTGTGAGTCTTTGCTTGGCAGTTTCCAAGGCCTCAGGTATGGACAGCTTGCTGTATTTCTTAGGCACCTTATTTGTCGCACCTTTCTGCAACTCCGTTAGTTGGCTAACCTCCCTCTGTGCTACTTTGATCTTGCCCTCTAGCCTCCTTCTCCATGGAGGGTACTGCCCCTTGTGGCTGTTCAACTTGTAGCCAAGCATCTCACTGATCACTGCTGCCGTATTGTAGATCAGCTTGTTAGTGTCGGTAATCGTGGTTGTAGTGCTGCATTAACATCATCTAGCAGACCTTCTGAGGGAACTTCACGTAATCTTGGTAACCGGCTACGGGGGATCCAGGTTTCAAGCTTGGCCATGAGCCTATTTTTCAGGTCAGTTCCTCTCGCACTCAACGATCCTTCTCCTATCGCACTTGGGGCTATGTACCCAATCTCGGGTGGGGGTGATATCGCCCCCCTGACCTGGCGTCCTGACTCCTCCTTGCCGTAGCATTTGTGTTGTACCTCGTCAATCTCTAGCTGTGAGAGCAGTCCCTTCTTTCGAATGTTGGAACACTGAGCTACTAATTGTTTCGGGTATCGAAGAATCCATAGGTCCCTCATCCTATTCATGTAGCCCCTTCCGCCGGGGTTACTTGCGTAGTAGCATTCCAACAACGCCCTGTTTTCGTCTCTTGCCCACCGATGCCTTCTTGTTCCAGTAGCCCACTTTTCGTCAGGGTGCCCTGGTTCCTCAACACCTGACGCGGACCTTGTTGATCCGGGCGACGTCCGAGCCGGCATGCCTTCATATTTATCTGTCTCGCTCATGTCTGCGGTAGGCTTGCTTAGCATAGGGGGTCTAGCCTTAGGACCCTTACTGGATACAGACGCCCCAGGCAGGAATCGAACTTGCGATCCTCTGTTCCAAAGGCGTGTAGTCTAACCACTACGCTATCCAGCTGCTAGATATATATCTATATATATATCTATATATAGATATCTATCTATATATATAAATAAAATGTTCAGAAATTTATAGACCTAACTGACCATTTACAACAGGACTTCTGTATGTCTCAGGGGAGATCTGCCCTGGCCACATATGTATCGAGTCTTGCACAGAGTATAAGTGTTGAGTATTTTAGAGTAGCATAAAAACTGGGACCAAAAATGACCTCATGAAGGCCTCCTGAGAGCGATTAGTGGTTTTATTGAAGCCTTCTTACAGTAAACAAGTTGTCATGACTGAAGTGGTCCATGTGCTTTTGCTTTTATTAATTGTAAACAGTCTAAAACAATAATTTCTCTACACAAACTTGTAACTGGCTTTAATTTCCCCGATTCATAAACCTTTCACTGCCATGTCTGTTTTAGCTCAGCGCTGGGATTAAAAATAGCACTGCACTTCTTCTCTGCATGGCATTGTGCTAACAGGACCTCACTCCTGTAACATGATACTCCCTCTCCATTTTGAGAATACCACTGGGATTACCACTGTGTATATGGACACACAGCAGCCTCAAGTGCATGTGATGAAAGAGACGAGGCACTGGAAGAGTCTCTAAACCATTTATTATGTTTCCTTACAGCTTTCCTACCCTTATTCCCATCAGCTGTGACACACAATGTGATGAACATAACTGACACTTTACTTTTGGCAGGACAACCAATGAGAGAATGGGTCACGCACAACTAGAGGGAGGTAAAAGCCACAGAAAAAAAAAACAAAAACAAAAGAAAACCCCAATCATAATTACACAAGAGACGCCAGTAAAAAGACAGAGTTGATCGACATGAGCTGTGACACAGTTTTACACAGAAAAAAAGTTCATGAACTTTTACTTAAAGTGTGGACTGCCCGTCCACCTCAAGGTGTAATCGTCAGCCTTTACAGCTTGAGCACTGAGTTGCTTCTAGTTTGCACAGACTGTTCTCAGTGGACTTGACTGTTATCAGTGCAGTACAGTGTGTGTCAGCCTGTCCCTTTTCTTTGTGACAGAATACAACCCCCCGCCCCCCCAAAAAAAGGAAAATGAGGGAATGACATCATCACAAATGCTTTGAATGAAAAAAAAAAAAAAGGGGGAAAGGACTAAGTGCTGAGAACGAGGGATGAAGAACTGGACCGTCTGGAGTTGGACTCTAATCCAGTCGCATTGCAACTGCCCGCATTTTATGCCTTAGCGTTGATGATGTCGATGAACTCTGGCTTCAGGGAGGCTCCGCCTACAAGGAAACCATCAACATCCTTCTGGGAGGCAAGTTCTTTGCAGGTAGCACCGGTGACAGAACCTGAGGAGAAGAAATGACGCTTGAGAAGAGATCGATGTGGGACTCAAAGGAAAACAGCTACCCAGCACAGCACTGACCTCCGTAGATGATCCTCACAGAGTTGGCAACGGCCTCAGAGACGTTGGTCTTCAGCCACTCCCTCAGTTTCTCATGAACTTCCTGTGCCTGAGATATTACACAGGTGACATTGTGTTGCAGGCTGTAAGCACAGCAAGTTAAATATTCAGTGATTTCTAATATTTACCTGCTGTGGGGAGGCGGTTTTCCCAGTGCCAATGGCCCACACAGGCTCGTAGGCGAGCACGACCTTGCTCCAGTCCTTTACATTGTCTGTGAAAGAGACGTGTGATAAGATTTATATTTCACAAGAGTTCGGATATCCACCACACTCTTGCTTGCACAAGCATGTACAAGAATGTCTGTTACAACATTTGAACTCATGTTGGCATAAAACCTGTGAGCTGCTTACCTGCGATGACCTTGGTCTGAGCAAAGACGACCTTCTCAGTGATGCCTCCCTCCCTCTCATCCAGCTTCTCGCCGATGCAGGCGATCACGCCAAGGCCGTTCTCCAGAGCATGAGCAGTCTTCTGACCAATCAGCTAACAACAAAGGAGACAATGATGAATATTTAACGTTTTTTAAAAATCTAAATGACTGCCATTAAAAAGAAATAATAATAATAATAAAATAAAAAAATAAAAAAATCTATCCATGTTACCTCATCATTCTCTCCAAAGACGTGGCGCCTCTCGGAGTGTCCCAAGATCACCCAGTTCACACCGCAGTCCTTGATCATCGCAGGGCTGGAAGACGAGATTATCACACAGTGAACATAAATCAGAATTCCACAAATTCCATTGTAATGAACGTTTTCTCCCTCCCTGCCTGAGTGTGACACAGTTTGTATATACAAGAGATGGAAACAGCCACCTTGATGTCACATTCAGAAGACTCAACTTTAGCATTTTTGGCTGTAGCCATCTTGGACTTTGTGGTTCTGAAATCAGGGAGAGGCCACACGCTCCTATTGTAGTCACTTGTCAATTTCAAAGTAGGCCCGTCCTAAACTGCACCCTGTTTCATCATCCAATTCCATGTCAATGTGGCTATAATTTACAAAAGTGAGATAAGACTTAAAATTAGTGAACAAGACCAATAATTCATTAGGAAAATGTTTGAGGTCCCAAAGGAAGCATCACTTTCTCAGACTTCAGGAAGAGTCGCCCTCTGCTGCCCATTAGAAAAACTGCAATCTGTCTTGTTTGGCTTTACCAGTCTAGGCCCCACCCACTCCTTGTAAAGAAACATTGTGATTGGTAAAACTGCACTTATTCAACCAAAGTATAACCATCAAGTGCTTTTAGTCGGCATTTTGACTGTATAAGTATATACACATATATATGTATACACTCATACACATAAGCAGTTTATTTTTATATGTTTTGTTTATTTCTGACGTCATGTTTGGAACTACAGGAGCACACCGTTACAACAGTGTCTGTGCCTGGTGTCCTAGTGCTGAGAGGCTTGTGTCATCAGGCAGGACTCTTTGCTCGTAGATATTTCTCTCGTAGGTTTCTCATAAAGAGAAGCCCCCATGTACTTGTTAAATATAAAACAACTGATAGGGGCAGGATGTAAAGTTAGTTTTGATGAATGGACAAATATTAGACTTAATGAAAATATTGTCTGACAGCAACCCTGTAGGAAGTGTGGATAAGAAACTTTGATGTTAATTTGTAGGAGGTAACTCTCAGAACATTATTCTAGATTGATTTGATTGTCCTCACCTTGACACGTGCTCTACTGTTAAATGAATCAACCCAGTTAAGAGTGAAAAAGAGGTGGGGGGGGGTCACTTTGGCAACACTCTGGGATTCCCCTAAAATCACCCCTGGATTAATTTATTTATATAGCAACAAAGCACAGCAACAGTTGGCTTAAAGTGCTTTAAATTTTAAGGTAGGGACACTAGAACTCCTTGTAAGATTCCTAACTGTATTTTGAGAGTGTGAAATCAGGAATTAGGAAAAATAACCTGAATTAAATACCTGATCTCCCCAGTGAAGGCGCCCTTGGGAACTTTGTAGCAGTTCTGAGCAGCCACACCGAACTTGGAGTCCAGTTTGGACCTGACAAAGTCCAAGTAGATCGATGGAGCGCCGCACACCACCTCTGTTAAAGGAGGAAAAAGTAAAACACTTAGGTTACACTTAGGTTACAGTTAGTTAATCCAGTTACTCTTAAAACCCAATATTAGAATATTTATGACCACCTGACATCCATCAAGCAGAGTTTGAAACCTCCTTATGGTACCTCAGAGAGGCAGTGGCTATTAATGGGCCTTTTGTGATGAGGAAAAGGCACAGAAAAAAGCAACAGTGGTAATTAGACTATCAAAGCATCCTCAGTGATTAGTTTGACGTGTTTTTAATATATGCGCGTCTACAGTTCAGCTAATCTGAGCCATGCCAAACACAAGAACATTTTTTTTCCCCACACAGCACTACTGCAACTAAGAGGCTGAACTGAATCCATCTTTAAAAATCAATAATCTGAGAGCTTAATGGGCCAGTGAGCAAAATTCAAAGTGAATGACTGGGAACTAAAAAAACAAAATAAAATAAAAACCACAGGAAGCACTGGTTCAATATGAGGTACAGTCTGCAGCAGTCAAGAAGAGTACAGTAAAGTTAAGACACTGACATTCACATTGTAACTATATCTTTGGGGTTATGGAGTCTATATTAAACACTGCCCGTTATTATTAGTTTGGCAAAGGTCAGTCAGGTCTCCCTGCAGTAAAGGTCTGAGTTCAGCCTCCAAAAGGTCACCTGCCATGGCTGCATTCAGCAGAGGTCAGAGACAACCCATGCACCCCAGTTCAAAGGGTCAAACAGAAGATCCAGAGTTTATCCAATATATCCAATATCCAACAGGTCGGTCTGAGGATGAAACAGGTGAACTCTGACTTTAGAGGCAAAAGCACGGGGGAAAAAAACTCGTCTTCATTTTCACTTCAGCTCTAAAAATGGGGTGGATTCATTAAAGGGAGCAAGGTCCAAGGATAGTCTGAGCAGACTTCAGTCCTGAGCACTCAGGCCTGTGAGTGCACACAGCATTGCAGTTGCATAACAAACACACAGGAGGAGATAAACGGGCCTGTGACAGCAGACACAGGCTGTCTTCAGAGTGTCATACACTTAAATAAGGGAAATATAAGCAGAGCTCAGTGTCTTAATGAAACAGCAGCTGCTGCCTCTGTCTGGTTCATCTGCAGGAAGCAGACAGCAACAGGGCAATGTCTTCTGCTGCATTCAGGGCAAGTTGGGAAAAAACTGACTACACACTCACACGAGTATAGAGCTGAAATAAAATGAGTGCATCCGTTTTTTTACTTGTTTTTGACTTTTGCGCTGTTTAAAGCTTAAGCTGCTGAATAACTCGGCTCAATATGCTGACGAAAGAGCAACCCCATTAACGACCATCCTGACTTGAATGCACCCCGCACATCCACAGCAGAGGCAGATCTGCTCTGATGGTCTACGTGCCGCTGCAAACGCACACCCACCACGACATGAATGGAAAAAGCCATCCGAGCTTCCCTCGCCTGAGCTCCGGCACGTCTGCCAGCCGCTGGTCACGATTTAGCTCGGTTTAAAACGACCTCACGCTAATCCCGACTTTATTAAACACGGCCTGAAACAGACAGAACCTCCGGCGCCAACGCTGTCATTGATTTTTTTTATATTTTGAATGAAACTGACATTTTGACCGCGGAGGATCATTCAGCTGTGATACGAATACACAGAGATAGGCTTAAAATAACTGAAAATATGGAGACAAGTGGCCAAAAATACTGAACCCCATTCAAGAAGGGTGATGGTGTCAGAAGAAGCCACATACCGACATTTGAGTCCACCTTGCCTCCGTTCATGGTCTGGATGAGCTCCCCGAGGCTTTTCTTGTCGCCGTTCATCTTCCAGTTTCCACCAACGAAGAATTTTCTGGTCATGTTTGCGATTTTGGGGGGACGTTAGCCAAAGAGTGAAACGGTACTGAAAGTCCACTGGGGGTCCTTCTAGTCTGGGGTACGAGAGCGGACGTTAATGAGCAGCTCGGGGTATTTATTAGCGTGAAGGTCTAACCCCTCCTCCCCCTCAGCGCCATTGGTTCACGCTGGTACGCCCGTAAAACGCGTTTCTGCCTCATTTTGAGGAAGAGGAAGAGGAGAATGTCATGCTGCGTTCAAGTGCCGTGCGGGAAAAGTAGCTTTTCCCTGGATGAACCCGTTAGTGAGGACAACAGATATGAAGTGAAGCAATCGACAGCCTTGTGTTATTTTCACTCCTTCTAATTAAAGAAAAGATGTTATTTTTTCTTATTTATTTTTTCATGTTTTTCTGAGTTAGTTTCCAGAGTGTGTTCGTTTTTATTCCTTAAATAGTTTTAATGTTAGCTCTTCTTAAGTATATGTATTTAGGGCTGTGCAGGAATATCGGGAAACGATGCACCTTACCAATATGTAACACAACTACAGCTAACAAAAATATAAATAAACAGTTGCAAAAAAACATGTAGGGATTTTCTGTTTATCTACTCGTTTAAGATACTCGTTAACAACAGAGGAAGTTCATGGATGTAGTGTAATGAGGACATGCACAAGGTTAGTGTGATGTAGGGTGGGTGGTCGAAATACGGTGAGATGAATGCAGATGGTACGCTTTAGCGACATCTAAAGGGAGCATCCGAAAGAGGCAGTTATTACATTTAAGTAGTCTTGTTTCGATCAAATTTCAGCATTGATATGAATAGTATTAGCCTTTATTTCACCTGAATCCTCTAAATGATCAGACCTACGGTACCTTATTTTTTCCAATCATAAGTATCTCGCTTCTGTTACTCAGTCATGACGGTCAACCATTTGATTGGCTGTGACGACACCAATCCCGCCCACCCACTCATTGACGGCTTGTTCAAAAAACGTTGTGATTGGTGAACACTCGGGCCAGTTTTAAAGTATTTGCATATCCGGCATGCACTGCGCTAAAAATGCCCTTTTTATACTTTTAAAGTATAACTTTCAAAGGGTTTCAGTTGATACATTGGCTGTACATGTATTTAAATATATTATAAATGAATATTTTTAAATATTTCCATTATTTCTGACATCGTATTTTGCACCTACAGAATCACACCGTAACAACAGTGTCTGTGCCTGGTGTTCTAGTACCGATAGGTCTCGATGTCGTATCAGGAATCTTTGCTCTTAGATATTTGTCTAGTAGGTTTCTCATAAAGAGAAGCCCTCACTCACGTGTGTACAAGAAGCTCTGTAAGTCTATTCATGGGTAACTAGAAGAAGTCTTACCTCATCTACAGTCTATTTTACTCTTATACTTCAATTTGTGTTACACTTATAAGATACAGACGGGCTCAAGCAGCGTTGTCCAGCAAATAGTATTAATAAAATAGCACACAAAAATATGCAACACAAGGTAAACATATGCGTTCTTCGGTAGCTCTGGTGGAATAAAATCTATATTGTGAGCCTCTTAGCTCTTGAACTCTTATCTGACTTCTCTTGTAAAACTACGTGATTTTTAAGACTGTTTAATGTCACTGTTTAAAATCTCCTTTGTGTACGAGTGATCTGTGCCTGTGAGTAGTAACCGCCCGCCTTTTGATTGGCCATAGTGACACAAGTCCCACCCACTTCGAGACGACTTCGTGATTGGTGAAAGTCACTGGCGCTTTATACCACCATAACAACAGTGTCTGTGCCTGGCGTCCTAGTACCAATAGATTTCAACTCAGCGACAGGAATCTTTGCTCTTTGATATTTGTCTAGCAGGTTTCTCATAAAGAGAAGCTCTCTTACGTGTTTAAAGAAAGCTAAATTGACATCTGATCTTTCATAAAAAGCAGCTTAAAGTTGTCTGTAGAGTTATTACTGAGTCCCATAACTAGTTTCTCTTTCACTTTAATTTCATTTCGGATTACACTTATTTACTTATTTACGCTCAAACAGCGTTGTCCAGCAAAAAATATCGATAAAATAACACGTTTCACTGAGAACTTAAAGTGAACATGCGTATTCTTCAGTAGCCCTGCAGGAATAAAATCTATAATGTGAGCCTAACTCTTATCTGACTGCTCTCGTAAAACTACGTGATCTGTTTAATGTCACTGTTTAATGTTGTAGGCCAGTGTTAAAGAGGCTTCAAAAACCAAAAAGAATTCCTCTGAAAATGATCAGGTCCAAGGTCCTGAAGCAACTATTCTAGTTACATTTTAGTGTGAGACTAAAATTACAGTAGTAATGAAATTACAACTCTTATAAAAGGTTATAAAAATGAGACAAGACACAGAAATAGTCTCTAAACCATTTTAAATTTATTTTGTTTCTTTCCACTCCTGTCCATTTTCTTTGGGACAAAATATAACCAAGTAAAAAAAATAAAATAAAAATAATAATAAAGGAGAAGAAGGGAATGACATCTTCACACAAATATTTTGAATGAAAAAAGGGAAGAGGACTAAGTGTTGAGAGCTGGGGATGAAGAACTGGACCATCTGAATGGACTCGAACTCTAAACCGCTCGCATTGGCCTTGGCGTTGATTATGCTGATAAACACTGGCTTCGGGGAGCCTTTGCCCACAATGAAACCATCAATGTCCTTCTGGCCAGCAAGTTGAAAATCACTTTTGTGTACAAGTGATCTGTGCCTGTCGTTTGATTGGCCATAGTGATACAAGTCCCACCCCCTGCGTGACTACTTCTTGATTGGTGGAAGTCAGTGGCGCTTTATACCACCATAACAACAGTGTCTGTGCCTGGTGTTGTAGTGATTACAATGGGTAGGTTGAGAACAGGATTCTTAGCTCTTAGAAAGTTGTCTAGAAGGTTTCTCATAAAGAGAAGCCCCCCCCCTTCGTAAAGCAAAGCTGTTCCTGTATGTCCTCCCTCTTTACATCCGTGAATCTTCTTTGTGGTCTTTTTCTTTTCTGGCTGCTTGGCAGCTTTAAAATCTTAATTAAACTTATATCAAGAAAATCGAATCAAGAAACAGGAAGACTGTTACACAATAATATGATTTTGTCACTGTGTCAGTTAGTGATGGCCAAATGAAGCTTTCCGAAGCACTGGAGCTTGTATTGAAAAACGGTTCATTACTCGAAGCTTTTCAACACAGTCCTCTCCGGTGACATCTGGTGGTGAAAATTTTGAAGAGCAGCTTGAATCTGCAAAATAAAACGGACTGCTCAATTATCACTGCTCACTCAAGAGTGGAGTTCTCTCTGATATTGGGCCACCGTTCCGTTGCTTTGAACATGTAATTGGTTTTGTTTTCTCGATTGGGGGGGCTGAAAAAAATGTAATGCGTATTTGCGTAATACATTTTGATCAATAAACTTTCCCTATTTAAACATGCACTATGGTGTGGCCTTTCTTTGCTCATAACTCCTTGATGTTGGTAAATACAATAAGTGAGCAATATATATAATATACATATGAGAATGCACAGCACATTATGGAGTATGCCCCTGCTGTGAAGTCCTGCCTCCATCTACTTGTCGTTTAATCACTGGACAGCTGGACAGGTTCATACAAAATATTAGATTAGGCCAATTGTCCTATACATATTTTTGACTTAGGGGTGGGATTGATTGTGAACTGGAAAGGGAAAATGCTTAGGGAGCTGAGTACGGCTGCATCGTCACTGATTTGTAGAATCATTTTGATTCGATACAGGATCCGATTCAATTTGATTGGAATCTGGAAAGTTTTGCCTCAGTCAGAAATATTACAATTCTGGTCATGTATCAGTATATATCCATAATTTCGTATCTATTAAAAGAAAGCTGACACATGTGAGACTTAATTAGAGATGTAAACAGAGAGTTATGAAACCTGCAGCTGCAGAAGCCAGCGAAAAAAAAAGAGGCAAACACAGCGCGGACCCGACGACACACCAAAATCTGACTCTGACGCATCGGGTCCGCGCTCTGTGTTTACGTTTGTATGCAGAATCCCTAAACCTGCTCCCAGTTACTGTTTTAGCTTTATTGTGTTTGACGACATGTTGTGAGGTTTAACCTGAGATGCTGGCGTTTCAGGCATAATAATGTTAATTTACAAATCGACACGGGATTTTAATGAATCAATATCACTTTATTCAATTTAGCATGGATTGTAATCAGAAAGCGATAATCAAACCCCACCTCTAATCAAGAACTTGCAAAGTAAAAACATGATCAATGTAAGGTAGCCCTTTTGTTATTTACATTTAAAAAGAGGATTAGTGTTACTGTGCGCTGGCTGAGTCTGTTTCTTTTCTTAGAAATAGTTTCTCCTGCCCTGGAGAAAATCCACTTGCATGGAACAGAAGAGGCTGTGGAGTGCAGAAACTACACTGCAAGCTGGTAGATATGCAGGTATTCCTGGGTCCTGCAGACTATCACACTCTAAAAAGTAATTAATGTGACCTTTAGTCATTACTTACATATATATGTTGTTGTGAAATGAAAAATCAAGTTCATAAATACTGTTAGACTTCCTAATTAAAATTTTTATTTTATTGAGTTCGGGTGACACATAAATTATGCCTCTTTACTCAATATATAATCGTGATTTGTCTGAATTTAAAATCTTCTATTAATCAAAAAACAATATAATTTTAAGTTCTGTCGATGTAAAATACAACTTGATGATGCGTAAACAGCTCACAGTTCCCTTCTTCTACTCAAGCGGACATATTCAACAGCACGTGTTCAAGGTTTATCAAGAGCTGTGTTCATCGCGAACGGTGAGTAATTTTATGCGAAATTACACATATTTGCAGTCGCTCTGGATTTTGTTAGTTTACTTTAAAACAACGACGTAACATACATAACATACATCTTAGCCTTCCCCCTCGTTTGTGTGTTTTAATATACACACAGCAGCTAATTCCACGATAGCATAAATTGTTGGGCTCTTTTTGGAAAATGTAACACTGACGTTACTCTAATGCAGACCACTGTAATTGTCTTATAATTATTAAAAGATAGCGGACGTTGTTAGCCCCTGCGCAAACTACTATGCTAACGTAGCTAGCCAAGCTAAGTTGTG